CATTATAGAGCAGGGGTGTAAAACTCGTGGCATCATGTTGTCATCATGTGATGTATTGCTACTTTCCACCCCTTCACTAAACTGGGGGGGGGAGGCAGCACATGACGCATCTGGTCCATGGGCTGTGAGTTTGACACCCCTGTTATAGAGGAACAAATATCCTATTCTTCAAGTCTTAGGATTCCATTCCATATTGGTTCGAAAATCACACAGAGAACTCCCAATTTTTCTAGGAATGTAGCACAATTTGTTAAATTACTATTATTTGAGTTACAGAAAGTCATCTTTTATGCCTACAACCATAGTCCAAAGAAACATTAACCAAAAAATGTGTTCTGTCTGATCTTATGCTTAAACCTAAATTACATAGCCTTGCTTCCACACAGCTGAATCCCACACTGCATTTATGAATGGGCTGGGAGGGTCAGTCAACTGACATGATTGGTTTTTAAACTAATTAATCTGACAAGATTAATTTTACACAAATAAATCTGAGAGATTAATTCATACATTAATGTTGCCCTTTCCTGCCTGAACAGATTTCTTCTGACAGATATTATTAGTGAAGCAAGAAATAGTTTACTGATGCTTTTTAAACTATATGGAAGATGGTACCATGATTTAAATATTTCCTTTATGATATAGTCTAGGGCTATGCAGAATCATTTTTAATTTAAAAGTGTTTGCTTGTCATCATAAATTATTTAAAACATGTTGCTACTTCCCAGTATTTTCAGGAATGTAATTCTTAAGGGACAAACATTTGAGTATCTAGTTTAGATATTTCCACTAGAACATTAGCTCCATCAAAAACTTTTGTGAACCAAACTAAAAATGTATGTTTAAAATTCTTAATCATAAACATGAAAGTTACTTAGCAGAATTGATATACCTGAGACATGTAGCAGTTGAATGCAAATCTGCACATGCAATGAAGTTACAGAGGAAATCTTAATGAAAGTATTTACTTAGTATAGTATTCAGCAATCTTCATATTTCTTGGTTATGTTTTATTTAGGCTTCTTACAAAACTGCTCATTTTCTTGTTTGAATTCTTTTTATCTGCCTGTGGGACATCATCACATAGTTAAACCTAATTTGCATCACTATATGGTGACATCATAATTCATGATAACTGGAGGAGATCACCCATGTTATTCATTCATGAAGTGGGTAGAAGTATCCTACAATGTTGGGAAAGCCACAGCAGATCCAGCAATCCAGAAAAATGGGTCAAAGCAAGACTTTCTCTTTTTAAAAAACAATTTAAGTATTTACTCATTTAATGTTTTAGCCAAAGACATTTCTATTTCTCTAAGAATAATAGTCCTGGACACAGAATAAATGACAGAGAATCGCCAAACTACTCCTTAACTGTAAGGGGCATTTAAATATTACAAATTTCCTAGAGATGATTTGTCTATTCTAGGGGACACCCAGTAATAGCTTTCTGATATAGAAATAATGGCTGAATGGCCTCATCTAGGAAACAGACAGATTATCTGGATGTTCTGTTTAGACAAGAGAGGTGCTTTTAGATGAGCCAATCTACTTGAAACTGGAGGAAAAATGCTGGCGCAATATTCCTAGGGAATTTTTACTTTACCACCAATTCCACTCTCCTATTCTTAAAAACAGTTTGAGAATAATTTTCTGAAAACAAGGAACAAAAATAACTGCCCTACTCTTAGTTGTTTCAGATCCTGCAACAATTAAATCCCCTCCCTAATCTCTATGCCAAAGGCAAAGGCAGAGAAGAAGTCTCAAATAGTCCATTTTTTTTTGTAAACATGCCTGTCTGAATTAATATGTTCATTATTTTTATGAAACAATAGATTTACTGGATTTGATCCAACTGAAACCTGCTCATTTACTTCACCTCTTTATTGTCTAGTTTCTTTACTGTTACAAAACAAAATGTTCTACAGAACTCGAAGGTTTCTGGAGTTTATGAAATAATATATTTTATTTAAATCTATACTGGGTCATATCCAGCCAATCACATATAGAATTCAAACAGACCAGCACCTGTCTCATAATACCTCAGATTCAACAATTGTTGATAAGACAAAAAAAATGGATATTGGATGTTCTGCTGGAGATAGCAAGAAGAGAAGAGAAAGAACTGGAGAAAAATGACAAAATATAAACCTGCAAATAGAATGGCTGTGGCATAAGAAAGCAAACACAGTAGCAATAGTAATGGGTGCCTTGGGTGGAATCTCAAAACATCTGCAGCACCGCTTGAATATCACTGGCAAAATCACCAGCAGTCAATCGCAAAAGGCAACTTTAGTTGGAACAGCTTACATCCTGTTGTTTTTCAACACCATCAAACAACATCTTTCTCTCTCAGGTCCTTGGGAAAGACTTGATATGTAGATAGAGGTACCAAATCCAGTCTCAACATCTGGCTGATGGTGTGACAATCCATAATAATAGAAAAAGTCTTGATTTACATAAAACTGTTCCCCCACAATAGAGAAAGAGGATACTGGCAATTTTTTATGGGCTGAATCTGCTGCTGAGGAGAAAATGGAATATTGACAGCTAGTCAGCATGCATCTTACAGGACCTAAGAAAAGTAGAATCTCAGGAACAGGAAGGAGCAATGGGATAAGATTTCCTTCCTATGGGGAAGCAGCTTGCCCACAAACACTACAAAGCTCCAGGGTTCCCAGCTGAAAATCAGCCTTCAGAGTATTTCATCTTGAACAGCATTAAGGCAGAAACATTGGTTCAGCTGCTGAACAGAGACAAGATGCCCTTATAAGGTCATTTTTAGCTAATCTATCAACATCTTGACCTGATATGGCTTCAACATCATTACATCCAGCCAGCATGTGGTTTATTTTCCACTAAACAATCTATCCATTTAAATAACTTTCAAAACAAAAGCTTTCATAAACAATATTTATAATTTAAAACAACATCAATTAATCTAAAACTTCTCAGGACTCACCAGATGAAACCATAAATATTGGATTCTTCTAAATGTAAGAAATAAATACTCAATATTCAAGCATTCTTGCCATCCTTTTATCCATGTCTTTTATTTTACCCAGCAACAACAGAATTTCAGGAGTTACAGCTACAAGTCACATCAATGAATATTTATCCAAATTCCAGAGGAAAGTAGAAAAAATGTTTCAGATGTAAGAAAACCTGAATAATAACCATCTTAAGATCCTATCCTTTCTATGTCTGTTGTTGAACTGTCAAGAAATGAAAGCTAGATCTAGATAGCTTTTTGTTTTGGTTTGTTTTATAGGTAGAGCTTCAATAGCAAAAAGGGTGTTCTACTTTGCTTTAAAGTATGTATTTTTAAAACATGTTTCTAACACATTAATGAATGTACAAATTATAAGTCAGCTTCCAGATAACAATAACTAACTATCATGCCAACACATGAGAGCTAGGTAGGTTAAAGATAGCTAATTTGTCCAAATACGCTAGGAACAAACAATTTTAATGGGCCATGCAGATATATGGAATTTTAGAAGAAGATAGACACTCTGACAAAATGGTTGCCCTGGGGAATGAGGCCAATCACAGTATAACAATTTACCTGAAGGGGAGTTATCTGATGTAATGGTATGTGGGATTGACCTTAAGAGGCAGAATAAAGGTCTCCAGCCTAGGGAATGGTCTGATAAGAGGTAGATCAGTCCCCACTTGAAGTGTTTTAGAAGAGACCATCCCTAGTAAATCAGCTTTCAGATATTTCTACTTGAAATGCATCTAGACTAAAATGAGAGGAGGGGAGAAATACTTTGCAAGAAGGATGGATGTTAGCTTTCAAGATAGTCCAGACAACAAGCAAAACTGGGAACATTTCATTTTAAGATCACATTAAACAGAATCTCACAAGATTGAAAGTATTTCTCCTTTTTGCTCTTTTTAGTTTCGAGAAAATCAGGAAGGGTGTCTTCCAAAACATTTCCTATGCTTTTCCCCAACTGAGGACTGAGTTGCCTCTTATCCAGTGGTGGGATTCAAATTTTTTTATTACTGGTTCTGTGGGCGTGGCTTGGTGGGCGTGGCAGGGGAAGGATACTGTAAAATCTTCAGTCAGAGATGGTATTTGCCGGTTCTCTGAACTACTCAAAATTTCCGCTACCGGTTCTCCAGAGCTGGTCAGAACCTGCTGAATATCATCTCTGCTCTTATCCCACCACTGCTAGGCTTCCCCTTATCTCCCAAGATCATTCCCACATATTATCACATCTGGTGACGGAGTCCTGGTCAGTCTCTTGCGCCCCTCCTCACTTCCACTATAAACTTGATTTTCCTGCTTCCCTTTGTCTGTTTTCCACCAGGGAGATGGACCCATTTCTAAACAAATGCCTTGACTGCAATAATCAATAATTTCCATTCAACCAATGTTTATGGGGTCTTCAGCATGTGGGTACAAGTGTGTCCCAGCAACATTTTTGTCAATACAGATGATGCTACAGACTTGTTCTCCACTTCAATTTCCTCCTCCATTTAATCAGACAAATTCTAATTAAAATGGGTGGGGAGAGGAAAATATCCTCAAGCACACTGGAACCTAAAGGTACTATACTACCTATCCTATCCTATCCTATCCTATCCTATAATATAGCGTGGGGTAAAATAATTCCCCCTTTTGGAAACAATGGTTGGGAAAAGGAGAGCAAAATTAATTCATTGCAAAGATTTGAAGGGATTATAGATTAATACATCAATGTAAGCCAACAACTCCCTTATTTAGATTTATTTTTTAAACTGGGGTCTTATTTTTGTTTTTATTTGGGATTTTACAGTACATCTATTACATTGGAAACTGCTACCATTTAAATTTGCCAATACATAAAAGAGCAAATAAGTAAATAAATATGAACGTGATATTTAGCCATATCACCAATAGTGAAAACAATGTTGCACAGTTTCAAAAATGTGGCAAAGAGTAGCATGCGTGCATAAGACAAAAGATAAATTTTGAAGAGGCTTAATGGGGCTTACATAACTCAACTTACCACTCAGTGGATGAGGAACAGTATATTGTTTCTTCTTACTTGTAATGGAAGTTGAGGAAAGCTTGCAGGATAAAGCACTTCCTTGTTTTCCCCCCAAATCCTCGCTTTGTTGTGCTTTTCTCAGTTGCACAGTGTGTTCAATTTTTCTTAATCGTTCTTGTGAGCGGGAAATAAAATGAGGCTTGTGAACTTCCAGTGCCTCCTAAAACAAGCAGAAATAAAAGGGATATCATTCAGTCACCCTTAGTGATATTTCTCTATTGTCCCAGGAAAGGATTCTTTTCAAATCAGTTATCCGAAACTCTAGATGTAGTGGCTATAATGGGGCATCTTTTGGCAATGTAGACTGTGCAACTTCATAAAACAAATGGGTACTGGCTTTTACCACATGTATCAGAGCAGATAACCAGTGCAATGCACATATTCCTTTATCAAATTTGTTCATTTTGTTCTGGCAGGGTATTTTATTTATTTGTTTGTTAAATTTTTATGGTGCCCATCTCACTATCCAAAGCAATTCCAGCTGGCTTACAAAAAATAAGAATGCGGTAATAAAGGATTGAAGAGGACTGGAAATGTCTTCAGTTTCCTATCTTCCAATATTACTTACATTGGGAATTTGAATAGAAACCTGTGTATATAACCAGCATGGCTTTCCTGAAATAAATGCAAGTAAAAACTCATTGCAGAACTCAAAAAATGGTAGATTGGGGGAGAGCCCAGTATATAATAAAGAAATAAGGAACAGGTAGGCATACGAGGCCTGACCCCTTTACTCAGTCTTGCATATCCTATGCAAGTCTAACACTTGAATGGACTATATTTTGTATGTGCTATTTCAAACCAGGATGGACAGCTGAAATTCCTAGGACCACACATAAAATAATCCCCTGAGGCTGCTTCAACCCCTATTACTAAAAATAAGTTGATTTTCTACTATTTTTGAGGATAAAAAGTACACAGGAATTGTTATGTAAGCACTAAAATATGCTTAATATAATTCAAAAGTCAAAGATCCCCCTCTCCCAGGGGTGGGATTCAAATTTGTTAACAACCGGTTCTGTGGGCATGGCTTAGTTGGCGGATGTGGCTTGGTGGTCATGTGACCGGGTGGACATGGCTTGGTGGTCATGTTATTGGCTGGGCATGGCCAACTCAACATCACTCACATCGAGGCACACATCTCCTTGCCTGGCCTCTCATGACTGTGGGGATGCTGCAACAGTCGTAAGTGTGAAAAATTGTCATAAGTCACTTTTTTAAATGCCATTGTAATTTTGAATGGTCACTCCACACAAGCAAAGTACCAGCAAAGGAGGGGAAAAAAATTCCAGAGAATTTCCTGAGGCAGGAAGTCTAGTCCTGCCAAGAATGTAATAAGGGTTAACAGAGAGGCAGTTTCTGTAAGCAACATCAGAATGTTTCCTTCCTGCCTTCCTTACAGGATTAAGCCAGTAATTTCTTCTAACAACCGGTTCTCCAAACTGCTTAGAATGTTAACAACTGGTTCTACTCAGAGGGGGCAGATTATCGCTTGCAACCCCATGTTCATCCCTCTTCTTTACATAATTCAGTATTTTGATTTTGAGAAGAGATATTTTTCCAGAGCAAGTTGTACAGAAATCCTAGGATATGAATTCACCTAATCTTCTGCAGTTAAAGGGAATTACCAGATTCATAATAATTGTAAATAATGAGGAGGGAGATGGTTAAAAAAAGTATACAGTATACATAATAAATATTAGAATGGGTAGACCAGTATAGTAGATAAGTCACTTCCAAATTCAGTTCTCAGTGTATCATGTAAGCAAAATGCTTCTCAGCAATAAAAACACATTCATAAAACTATTGTTTTGCCTCTTTAAAATATATATATAGGAGCAATAAATGTCTTTTTACCCCTAGAGATTTCCAAGGAAATAACCATATCAACGTGATGAGTTAGCAGGGAAAGTGGATATTTTACCCTGAGAGTCAGTGGTCTTGCAGGAATTTTCTCAGGCTCAAAGCAGACCTCTGAATGTTGGAAAGCTTCATATTTCTCACGAGGAACATCTGGTTCATGGGCTGCAGAGGTGGTTAACCTATTGACCATCTCTTTCTTCACATTTATCTTATGTTCCTTGGACTGGCTGGCTGACTCATATAATTTGTAATCACCTAAGAAAGACAGAAAGGCTTGTTTATTAAGGGATGATAGCCAATTTGTTTTTCGCTTCTTCTAGATATTTTCAAACCCAGGAGGCATCTATAAAAGAAATACATACATGAAGTTGTTGAGTAGAGAATGTAGAGTTTTGTGCTTGTTTAACCCTAGAAGTCAAATCATAAAAAGTTTCATAAATAAGCATAAGTATTATGAAAGTTTTCCTTCAGCTGGAGATCCACTAAATCTGGGAATATACCAGGGTTATTGTATTTAACTAATTACACACCAGGAGAAAATGAAAAGACAGAATCTATATATTATATATTTCAAAATCCTTTTAAGTTATTTCTGAGCGCAGGAAGGAGAGGCAACAATAGAAGCTATCCACTGCCATAGCCAAACCTCTAAGCATAATCTTTGAAAAATCTTTCAGAACCAGCTCCTTGCCTAACCTATGGTCACAAGCCACAGTCATCCCCATCTTCAAAAAGGGAGACCCAAGCCTAGTTGAAAATTACAGACCAATCTCCTTATGCTGCATCACCTGTAAAGTCATGGAATCAATTATTAACCAATCCATCATCCTCCACTTAGAGACAAACAACCTACTCTCCAATAAACAATTTGGTTTCAGAAAAAAACTATCCTGTAATCTGCAACTCTTACACTGCAAAAACATATGGACGACACAACTCGACCAGGGCAAAGCAATAGACGCAATCTACATAGACTTCTGTAAAGCCTTTGATTCAGTGGTACACGACAAATTACTCCTAAAAATAAAATCCTATGGTATCTCTGGACAACTGAATAACTGGATAGAAGCATTCCTGTCAAACAGACAACAAATGGTCAAAATCGGGAGCGTCCTATCAAATCCAGTACCTGTCAATAGTGGTGTTCCCCAAGGCAGTGTTCTAGGACCAACTCTCTTCATACTCTACATAAACGACCTCTGTGATCATATCAAGAGCAATTACGTTCTCTTCGCTGATGATGTAAAGCTGTTCAATACCACAGACAATACTGCTACCCTACAAAAAGATCTTGACTATGTATCCGAATGGTCAAACAAATGGCAACTTCAAATCTCAACAAATAAATGCTCTGTCTTACATATTGGCAAAAAAAATCAGAAAATAAAATACAAGCTGAATAGTCAAGACCTTGTTGATGACCCAAGCTCTGTAAAGGACCTTGGAATACTCACCTCTAATGATCTGAGTGCTAGAGCCCACTGCAACTACATAGCCAAAAAGGCATTAAGAGTTGTTAACCTAATCCTACGTAGCTTTTTCTCTGGCAATATCACACTACTAACCAGAGTATACAAAACATTTGCTAGACCAATACTCGAATACAGTTCATCAGTCTGGAACCCACATTACGTATCTGATATTAGCACAATTGAGAAAGTCCAGAAATATTTCACAAGAAGAGTTCTCCACTCCTCTACTCGTTGTAGAATACCTTATGCCACCAGACTTGAAATTCTAGAACTAGAAAACCTTGAATTACGCCGTCTTCGGTCTGACTTAAGCATGGTATATAAAATCATACATTGCAATGTCCTACCTGTCAATGAATACTTCAGCTTCAACCATAACAACACAAGAGCACACAATAGATACAAACGCAAAGTAAACCGCACCAAACTTGATTGCAGGAAATACGACTTCAGCAATAGAGTGGTCAATGTCTGGAATACTCTACCCGACTCTGTAGTTTCTTCCCCAAACCCCAAAAACTTTAACCTTAGACTGTCTACTATTGACCTCACCCCTTTCCTAAGAGGCCTGTAGGGGGCGTGCATAAGCGCACCAACGTGCCTACCGTCCCTGTCCTATTGTTTCTCTTATTCTTTTATTTTTCTTATATGTACCCATTTCATGTATTCACAACTATGTATACATTTATACTTATTATCTTGTAAACAATTGGCAAATCAAATCAAATAAATAAATAAATAAATAAATAAATAAATAAATAAATAAATAAATAAATAAATAAATAAATAAAGTAGTTTTCCATCTGCTTGCTGAGGCCAGATTCTACTAGTCTCTCCTCAAAGCATTCACTCAGACCTATTGACTTATTTCCATCAAGCCATTATAAGAAGTGTAATTTTCATTCGTCTTTTTTATTGTTTTCTTCCTTCCCAATACTCTTTTTTGTACAGTGCATATTACATCTTTTAAATAGCAAATCTAAAGATGCTATCCATGTTACTTTATTGATCTCTTAAACCTTTCCAGAATAGCTGTAGAAAGACCTCTTTAAGCTGGATGAACAGTCACCCTGATGGCAAATGCTGTTCTGTTCAAGTAGGTCTAAAGCAGGGGTGGGCAAACTTTTTGGCTCGGGGGCCGCATTGACTTTTAAAATTTGACAGACGGGCCGGATCAGCACAAGATACGATACATATAAAAAACTGCATTTGTTAACAGTACATATCAAACATAAACAGAAAAAAGCATTAAAGTATTAACATATTTTAATGAGAACAGTGTTGTTGATCACTCATTTTTGCCAGTGCATCGAAGTCTGGTTGTAATTCTGTTGTGGCAATTCTCAGAACAGATCTGAGGTGTTCATCACTCATCTGGGATCTGTGGGGTGCTTTGTTGGTGTTCATCACACTAAAAGTCTGTTCACACACATATGTAGAGCCAAACAACACCAGCATCCTCTGTGCTATCTTCTGGATGTTTTTAAATTTGGCTGCACTTAATGAAGCATAAAACTCATCCAGTTTCAGGGAGTTGAACTTCTCCTTTAACACCATGTCACATTGGAGATCAAGCAGTTCCAACTGCAACTCCTGTGGCACCGTTTCTGGGTCTTGTGAGAAGGGACATGACACCAGCTGAAGTGCCCAGTCAATTTTTCCAAAATCACAAAACCGACGGCAGAATTCTTCATGCAGGTCATCCAGTGATTTCCTATATTTTTTAACATGTTGCGGGGCCTCTTTTAACGTAGCCAGTGTGGGGAAATGAGCAAATGACTTGTCTGACATTTGCTTCGAAAATAAAACTAGCCTGGTTTTGAAGGCTCTGATGTTTGCTTGCATTTCATGCACAAACTGGTTTTTCCCTTGTAGCTTCACATTCAGCTCGTTCATGTGTGTCAGTATGTCCACAGTAAAAGCTAAATCACAAAGCCAATCTGTGTCATTCAGCTCAGGAAAATTGTCAGTGTTCTCAAGTAGCTCCAAAAATGAAACAATCTCCTGTTTGAGCTCCCACACACGTTGACATACTTTTCCCAAACTTAACCAGCGGACATTAGAATGGTAAAGCAAGTCCATGTGATCAGCGTCAGTTTCTTCAAGAAAATGAATAAACTGACGATGATGAAGTCCCCTCGCTCGAATAAAGTTAACGAGTTTCACAACTGGCTTCACTACGTGGTCAAGCTGCAACACGGATTTACACAGTGCTTCCTGGTGAATTATGCAGTGTAGGAAAATTACCTCCTGCTCAGGGTTGTCCTCTTTCACCCTGTCCTGGATTCTTTTGAGCATCCCGATGTTTTTTCCTGTCAGATTTGGTGATCCATCTGTGGTAACGTTGGCGAGCGTACTCCAAGGTAACTTGTGCCTCTGTATGACCGCTGACACGCTGTTAAATAAATCGACTCCCCGTGTTTTTCCTTTCAGGGATTCCATAGCCAAAAACTCCTCCGTTATCTCGAAATTTTCATTAATCCCTCTGATAAAAATTAAAAGCTGAGCGGTGTCCTTTATGTCATTGCTTTCGTCCAGTGCCAAAGAATATAATGTAAATGACTCCGCTTTTTTGTTTAGCTTGCTAGTTAAGTGTTCGTCAATTACTTCAACACGGCGAGTCACTGACCTGCGTGATAAGCTAATTTTTTCAAATTTGTTCTTGCTCTCGGGACATAAAATACTTGCTGTCTCTACCATGCACTCTTTAAGAAATTCCCCTTCGGAGAAAGGCTTGCTGGCTTTTGCTAGTTTGAATGCCAGTAAATAACTTGTCTTCGTGCTTGCTTCTTGGATGGAAGTTGCTCGGTTAAAGGTGCTTTGCTGAGCCTGCAAGCTAGCTACCAACCTATGAGCGGTAGCCGTACGTTCTTGCGTTGAAAGGTTGCTGGCGTAATTAGCATGCTTGGTGGAAAAGTGACGGCTGATGTTGTAGTCTTTGAAAACCGCAATGGTTTCTTGGCAAATAAGACATACAGCCTTTGACCGGACTTCAGTAAAAAAGTATTTAGGCGTCCATTCTTTATTAAACACCCGGCACTCACTGTCGACTTTTCTTTTCTTTGACATTGCTGCAGATGGGTTCTGATCTGACCAGTAGAAGAAGAGCAATAATTGAAAATGGCTCGGGCTCCGCAAAATCAAGTCACTGTGCCTAATGTGCAGATATGATATTCTTCCTATTAAAAACACAACATAGATAGATAGATAGATAGATTCTTCCCCTACGAATAAACGACTCTGTGTGTGTGTGTGTGTGTGTGTGTGTGTGTGTGTGTGTGTGAATGTACCCCCTCAGCTTACACAAGTTGGCCACTTATAAGATAAGAAATAAATAAACGCCCACCCCCCAAAACATAACTCCTCCGGTGCCCACGGATAAACTGTGAACCACCAATTAGTAGCAGGGCTGACCCTCCCTCTTGAACCAACATCTAATTGGGGGGAGCAGACCGGCCTTCAGTCTCTTGCGAGAAACTGCTGGCTAACCCTGCAAACCACTTGCCAAGGTGTGTGTGTGGGGGGGCTTTCGCCTGCCTTTCTCCTGGTCAGGCTGCCAGTTGCTCCTTGGGGCGCACTTCTTAAAAGCCTGCTCCCAGCACCCGAGCAACTTCCCAGCAACTTTCGGCTTCCTTTTAACTCACGGGCGAAAACGAAGCCGAAAGTTGCTGGGAAGTTGCTCCGTTTTCCAGGGCTTTGCAAAGGCAAAGTTTGCAGGCTGGAGCGTCTTCCCGCCGAGGAGCGAGAAGGGTTCCGCCCGGTGGGCGGGGCGGGCTGCTTAAA